GAATGAATAAGTGGATGATGGATGAATAAGTGTATTATGGATAAATAAGTGGATGATGGATGAATGAGTGGATGATGGACAAGTGGATGTCTGGTGAGTGGATGATGGATGACGGGTGAATAAGTGGATGACGGATGAGTGGATGACGGAAGAGTGGATGATGGATGCATAAGTGTATTATCGATAAATAAGTGGATGATGGATGATGAATAAGTGGATGTCGGGTGAGTAGATGATGGATGAATAAGTGGATGACGGATGAGTGGATGATGGATGAATAAGTGGATGTCGGGTGAGTGAATGAATAAGTGTATTATGGATAAATAAGTGGATGAATGAGTGGATGATGGACAAGTGGATGTCTGGTGAGTGGATGACGGAAGAGTTGATGATGGATGAATAAGTGTATTATGGATAAATAAGTTGATGATGGATGAATAAGTTGATGATGGATGAATAAGTGGATGTCGGGTGAGTGGATGATGGATGAATAAGTGGATGTCGGGTGAGTGGATGATGGATGAATAAGTGGATGACGGAAGAGTGGATGAATAAGTGTATTATGGATAAATAAGTGGATGATGGATGAGTAAGTTGATGATGGATGAATAAGTGGATGTCAGGTGAGTGGATGATGGATGAATAAGTGGATGTCGGGTGAGTGGATGATGGATGAATAAGTGGATGTCGGGTGAGTGGATGATGGATGAAGGATGAATAAGTGGATGATGGTTGAGTGGTTGATGGATTAGTAGATGATGTTTGATGGATAAATGAGTGGATGAAAGTTGAGTGGATGATGGATGAATCCTGTGCTATTCTATTCTTTTTTTTTTTCTGCTATTCCGCCGCTCTGGGAAGCCTCGGCCGGCGAAATGGGCCATTCGACAACCAGACCGACGGGTCGTAGCAGACGGCCTTCTCCTGGTGACACAGGAGAAGAGCCTCCAGCTCGAAATGGTTAGTTGTTCTCCTCCTCGATCTTTCCCTTCAACGCCAACTGGTACGTGGCCACCTGAGGCGCGTAGGCGGGATGCAAATAATGCAGCAATTGCTGCTGATGCTGCTGCATACATTCATCCATCAACCATACGGGCAAGCTTCGTCCCGCGAAATGGGCCCCGGACTCCAGAGGGTCCATCGGCAACTGTAAGGACAGAAGACCTCCACCCAGTCGACAACCAGACATAGGTGTCGTAGTACACGGCCTCCTCCGAGTCCTGGTAACTCAGCA